AAAATTTTGAAAGTGTTTTTTTTTTTTTTTTTTTTTTGCATAGTCCTAAGAATTTCATAAACCTTCAAGTTCAATTACATTCGTTGAAGAGTTTCTATTTTAAATGCAAGTAATTTGTGTAAGTAATCATTTGCTTTTCTTTTTGTTTTTTTTTTAAAGAGATAAAAAAAAAATTATCTTTTGATGACTGCAAAACTGCTTTCTGCTGGCTCTTTATTTTCTAATTGATATCACATTATTATTGGTCAAGAACTGCAGTATATTACTTGACTTATCCATTGGTATGTACTTTAATTGCAATTACAAAATCTTTGGTATTTTTATTAATCTCCAAGGGGTAATTTCATGTAATGTAAAGGTCTCTCTCTCTCTCTCTCTCTCTCTCTCTCTCTCACTCTCTGTGAAAACATTTGACTATTTAATTTTAAAGTGAGAGCATGAATTACTGAGGGAAAAATAGCTAGCAATAATAACTGAAAACAATTATGTAAGGTGCCATGGAAAAATGATCCCTGTAAATTTGTTTAAAATAAGTTTACATTCACTTAGAAATAAACGTTTTTACATTAAATATCAACATTTTATAATTTTTTTTATTCATAACATTCTCTATTAACTAATTTGTTATAAATGCTAATATCTAAAACAGCAGTTACACACACACACACACACACAAAAATGTTTCTCGGACTTTTATTTTGGCGACATGTTAAAACCAGGAACTAACGTTAGTAGGAAAGAAATCTGACGTTTCATGTGTCGATTTTCACTGTAATATTTCGAAGGTCAGTCTGTTATATCGTTATTATAAAATCATATTGCCATTTTTGTTTGTCATGCTCCAAGCAGCAAAATAATGCGGATGCATATGCTTCTTACAAACTACAATCTTAGCGAATCTCGAAATGCAAGTGGCAGTTTAAGCTGACAGCAGCATATGGATAAATAAAGAAGTGGCATGTTTGTGTAGCTGAGAGCCTCTGCGGCCGGTGGCACAGATCAGATGAAGCGCAGTAAGGGAGCTGCAGCTGCACTGTTTGCTGTCTACACGAGTCTAAATTGTGAGTGTTTTTCAGATGACACGGGCCAAACCAGAGGATGATGAGTACTGGAACAGCTCCAAATTTAAAGCGTTCACATTTGATGATGAAGACGATGAGTTTTCACAGGTCAGTTGATTGTGTTTCCATTGAGCTCTATGGAGTCCAACGCCTGTTTACCACTTTATGGCCCCTTCAGCCTTATAAAACCAAGGGCGTAGTTTTGGTTTGAACATTGGTGGTGGTGGTGGGGGGTGGTTGTTGAAGAGTGGTCTATTTTAGTGGAGTCCTGGGTCATGCTCTCTCATAAGCTTTGTTTATATGTTTATTTTTGTAAAATGGTATTTTGTGCTATCATCCACAAGTACAAAATTGGTTGATAACACACCTGCAATAAATTAATAGCCTAGTTAACAATTACTTGCTTACATAGGATATTATATAATGTATTTTATATTATTTAGGCTATGCAGAATGTTCTAATTCAACATGCTATGGGGAGTCAATCTAACTTAAAGTCTGTGTAAAGGCAATTCAGCGAATGGTTTCTAAACGCATTCTAAATGTTAGAAATGTATTGCTGAAAACACGTTACAAAGACTGTGAACTATGAAGTACTGAATTGTGGAGTCTGTGTTCAGGATTTTTTAGGGCAGGGCTGAAATCATGTCTTGATGATGTCCCCTAACACTAATTACTAATAACTAGAGCGCATTAGCATCAGTGGTCCCCCTGCTCAATCGCAGTTACTGTCATTACCAGGGCCGTCCTTAGGGGGGTGCAACTGGTGCAGCCGCACCGGGCCCCGTGTCAATCGGACCGTGTGGTGTGACAAACTCAGAACCGATATTTAATACTGCTTTACATGGACTTTAGCATTTTATATATCGATATTGTTTATTTCTTACTCCTTAACAGTTCATCAGGCTCTTAATGATTTAATCTAATCTTAATCTATGCCATCTCTTGGAAGGCCGGGTTTTTCTATCACTCATCATTAGAACCCATTTTGCACATGGCTCTCGATTCTGACTTGTATTTGCTCTTATGAAAATGTACCATAGTTCTTAACTGTGGCATCTGTTATAATAAGGCTAGCTTATTAATCATTACCAGGCCAATAATGACTTTTTTTATTAATCTTTTAGCATTTGTTATGAAAAACAACAGCCTGCACATTTAGAAGCAATGGCTACAACATGCCACAGTTGTAATATAAATCTATAGGGAAAAATCTATTCCTTTTAACGGATCATCTATTATCAATTCTACAAGTAGACAAAATTTACCACAATAAATAAGCCTACAATAAAACGTGATAAATTCTAGTAAACGTGGTCATGCGTAGTTTAAAAAGATTTTAATATATGTTAGTAGTGCTGGTGCAAGATTGTTTTCTCCTCTTTTCATCAGTCTTTTTAGTTTTATGTGCCTTTTTTTAGATAATGTTTGACTTTCTCCATGTCAGTTTCTCAATAGAATTCAAATAGATCGCAGAACATGTTCTTTCCGAAATTAAATAGTTGGCTTTCTGTTAGCTATTGAACAGACATCAAAGCAAAAGACCGAAATGTTACGTGGAAAATATTTGCCTTTTATATTTAATTAACAAGGTAATATAATTTGTATGAGAACATAACGAACACATTTTCAATGTTTACAGAAAATAGTAAATTAAAGTGGATAAATTAAATGAATTAAATTAAACACGGTGACAGTGGTGAGGAAAGATTTAGAAATTGTTAAAAATCACAAACTGTTCTTAAAGTTAATATGTATTTTGTACGATGTTTGTATTATATTTTTCCTCTCACATTTTCTCTGTGTGGCCCACAGTTTAAAGAGCCCTGACTCAGATTATGTTGTGTTGTTATTTCCCAGCTGAAAGAGTCCAAACGGGCCGTGAACAGCATCCTGGTGGACGATGATGATGAGGATGAGGAGGATGTTGAGAGAGTCAGCTGGAGTGGGGAACCTGTGGGAAGTATGCACTCCTTTCTCTGATCTCTGCTACTGTCTGTACCTCATCTGGATGCTCATCAGTTTTTGTTTGTGTTTAGGCATCTCTTGGTCGGTGAAGGAAACTGCCTCCAGTATCCGCTCAGGCAGTGAACAGAGCTTTCCCAAAATAGACACCACTCCTTCACTGTCCAAACAGGGGTCTGGATACTCCCTGAGCTCCCTGTTTAAAGGTAATCTACAGTGAAGAGTTCTTGAACGTTTTAGTTCAATCATTATAGACTCACCAATCTGATTTTGTTTCTATTCCTTCAGCAAAGAGCAAACCTGGTGCTTTCCAGTCCTTCTCCGAGTGTAAGTTCAAATCATTGAGGCATTTAGAATGATTTAGGCCTATATTCTCATTTGTTTTAATTAAGTGTGTTTGTTCACTGTTTTCTAGCTTTTAGCGACACATCTTCTAGAACATACGCACCAGAACTGAGGAAGCCCAAGTCAGGTGGAAAGGTAATACCTATTACACACCGTTCAAACATTTGGGGTCGGTAAGATTTGTAATGTTTTTGTTCATCAAGGCTACATTTATTTGATTAAAAATACAGTAAAACTGTAATATTGTGAAGTATTATTACAATTTAAAATGAATGTTTTGTATTTGAATATATTTTAAAATGTAATTTAATCCTGTGATGGTAAAGCTGAATTTTCAGCATCATTACTCCAGTCTTCAGTGTCACATGAAACATGTTAAAAACAGTCGTGCTGCATAATATTTTTGT